CCGACTCGATAGAAGCCACAGAGGCAGTTGTCCGGGTAGTGCGTGAGGTGAGCCAGGGACAGAAAATCATGGGTGTGGTCCTCAAGAGAGCGTTCCCCCTGCTCCAGCAGGAGGAGTTGGAAGGCGGGGTAATCCATACAGAAAATAAAAACTGACAAAAACCGGGAAAACAAACGAGGGGAAAGACGCCGCTATACTTCACTTTTTGGGTCGTTATTCTGTCACGGTCCAGGTGTGTGGAGGCAGGCAGGATGACAAGGACGACAAGGATTCAAAAGAAGGATTTTTAATGTCGCCACAACAAGGCAGAGACGCACACACTCGGGGTAACATTCACAATAACCGACAACACTAGAATACAAGAGACAGGAACTTATAGGGCAGATAACGAGGGGCAGACAGGTGAACACAATGAGGGTAATTAACTAATGATTAGATGGGCTAAACCAACACAAGGGGAAGAAACCACAACAAACAGTCCACAGGGGTGTTACAGTGGGAGAGAAAGAAGTAACATTCCTTGGATGAGAGAGTAGGATTCCTGAGTATAATTTAGTATAGTTGATTATAGCATAGCAAATTAATCTTACATTTAGGTAAAATGTTCCATCCTTGACTGAAACTTTTTTATCTCCAGGAAATGCAAAATAAATTATTTAGCAAAATGACCAGTCTGTTTGTTTCCATACAAGAAAAGTACACAAGAAAGACAAAAAATTACCTTAAATGTAGTCCATATGACTAATACCATTTTCTTCTAAAGTCATGCAATATTTGCCGAAAATAACAAACCTTGCAAATCATACAGGTTTTTAATCCAATGAGGGTGAGTAAATGATGACAGCATGTTCATTTTTGGATGAACTATCCCTCTTAAGCATGCCAGCTAATACACTTAAAATGCACTTTAAAGACAATCTTACAAATATATTGTACACCACATTTAGTATATAAAACTTTAAATCTTATAGAGAGTAGTGATCCAATAAAACACAATGATCTGATATTTTTCTGTCTGTTACTTTGAGCAATGCTCACACCTTCTCTCCTTTTCATCAATTGTTCTTTTTCTACCACATAGTGAGACAAATGTTCCATGATGCCCTTCTATTAAAGAAGTTGGTGCTGTCTCTGGGGTCAGGCAGGGGGAAATGGATGGTACTGATCTAGGAAAGAGTAGTGGGGCTGTAATGGCTTGAAAGGAAGACTGGCATTGAGAAAATCTCGGGAAAACTCATTCACCATTACACTAAGAGTTAACTGCTACTGAAGCACAAAAACAGGAATCGATACAAAGACAGATAAAAACAACATTATACAGTTTTTATTACAGCGAACTCTGTGAGTATAAATGGACAGGGCATGATCAGGTGAAACAATTGTAGAAGAAAAACACTTTTATGCTCGTCCTTTAAAAAGAAGTTTTGGGAATGTATCTGTGTCTGATTAATGGTGGAGGTGGCAAGATTTTTGTTGCTAACAAGCGGGGTGTTATTTCTCAAAGGTGCCTTCTGGGCAAGCACACGGGCTCTCCACATCGAGACACGACAGAAAAACTATGCGCACACAAGGGAAAAACTCCCATGAGGCCTGTCTGTGAGGGAGAGCTAGCCACATGTTCTCAGCTGTTTATATGCTGTGGTGTTGGTGGTGTGTACTTTCATGAACCACACACAATAATAAATAGCATCAGCACTTGTGATGATAAGCGCTGAATAAATTTAAGCCTTGAGGGGGAAAATCACTGTGTGAACTAAACGACTTTTGTTGCTGTTTAATACAAGAACACCCAAAAGCAATCATGTTAAATGATTTAAAAATGCATTGTGTTGTTTAAACTTAAGAATGAAAATCTCACTTAATATCTTTTTAGTTCTCCATCTTTGTATGTGTATTCTAACTCATGAAGGTTGGAACCATGGCTTAGTGGTTAACACAAAAGCTCAGTAAAACTGAGGTAAGCTGTGGTACTCACATGGAAAATACAAGTTCAAATCCAGCTTATGTTAAACCATTTTGTTTCTATCATATCTCCCCCACTATTATTATAAATAGCCAAAAATATAATTCATACAGAAGCAGACACGTGTGGCGGGGGATGGGCTGGGGGTTTGGGGGGTTGGTTTTGGGTGCTTGAGCATCTGCCATTTTCCCCCTAGATGCCCAAAGTGCCCTTTTGTCAAGGCAATTTGTTTTTAATTAAATGCCCTTTTCTGAAGGCCTGCCCAATCGAACTATTAGTAAAATTAATGAATAATAATTTATCCGTAATAAAATTATCCATATGATGTCCTCTCACCTGACGATCTCATCCGGGATGATCCCTCACGTTAGGATGCCTTCAATAACGTCCACGCCTGACGGTAGGTGGAGTTCTCAGCGGAGCAGTGTGCTTGTATACTTATTATTATTATTATATTAATAAATTATTATTATTTTACAAGAACAACGTGAAGAGAGCATGCACAGCTGTTGTTTATATTGTTGTGTGTAGCCTGTGGAAGTAATGTTAGCAAGGAGCTATAATGTCTTTGTTCAATATTTGTCAATATTCAATATTTGTCCTAATGACAATTTTATGAATGGTTTATAAAGCCCACCTTTTCCCCATTTTTATTGCAGAATAAGGCAGGAAATATATTTTATAGTTTCTATACTTAATGTCAATCAGTACTGCATTATTCATATAGTTTATTTATTCATTACCTTGAGATAACTTGAAAAACACACATAAACCATATATTTTCACAATCGTAAAAACGTTTCTGCTTTTTATTCAGCTTAGCTACAGCGATAGCCGGATTCTTTTGTCCATATTAGGGATTTCCTAGACGTCACAAGTTATTACTTCTATGAGTCCGTTTTGGACTTTCTACACTAGAGCGCCCTCCGGCTTCGAGTATGAATGAAACACACACATCGCTCCTGATATTCACATCTCCTCATTTTGGATACAAATAAAACATCAGGTCATGCAAAGACTATCGATACGGTGAACACACTGCCTGAATAAAGTGCGGGGGATGAATTTACATTTTATTAAAATTAAATATTTATTAAATATTAAAAATGCAGCTAACGTAGTTCTACACACAGCAATATAATCAAAAGTGCCTGTTCTCTTTCGTTCTTGCTGATTGATTGGGAAAAGTTTAAAGGGCATCAATGGGTCTTGTCTTTTTTATGTTATCTGACTAAAAATTATTCATACTTTGAACTATTATTATTACAGTACTTATTTTAAAAACGCTGGTAAAACAGGCTTATAGTGATTTTCTCATCCTCCAAATTATACTTATCAATCCTTTTTTATTATCATTATCATTAAAAAATGAATAAATTCAGAACATGTATATCTATTTTAAATAAGACATAAATATTTTTTTCTACAACAGCAAAAGTAGAGTTTACAACAGCAAAACCACCATACCCTGTAAACTCAATAATAATAATAATAATATAATTCAGTTTCTAATTCTAGAGGAATTAAGAGGTGCAAACAAAAAATGATTTAACTTTTAAACTTAAAATGGTCTTTTCTGTTCTGTAATTATTTTTCAAAACTGTGTCACGGCATTTGCTGCTGTATAAATAAAGAAGCATCCATTTCGATACACGTATCAGCAAGAGCACAGCACTATTTAAAGCCGTGTTCCATGTACCCCTTTTATAGTTTGAGCACCTGCCCCTCCAAAGGTCTCTGTACGGCCCTGTACAGAAGTGAAAACTGACCTGTGAGTCATTTGAGGCTACGGAACGTTCTGTAGGTGGCAGGCTGGAGGGAGGGATGCCAGGAGCAGGTCTTTGGGTGGCAAAGGCAGGAGCTGGGTGCACAAGGGGCGGACTGTGTCCAAATGCAGAACTTACGATGCCCGGTTGCCGACTGATCAGCTGCTGATGCATTTGCAGTGCCACAGGTGTCGGAGGATATGCAAAACTCAATGCAGGGCTGTAAGACAAAATAAACAGAAAAAATAATTTTAAAATTAAATTAATAAATTAAGTTAATGTTACAAATTAGTGAAATTTGGTCATGTGGTAAATTATAAACTCCTTTATATAATATTTGTTATTGAATTCAATTAATTCATTATTTAATATTATTTATAATGCAGTACAGTTCAAACGTTTGTGGTCAATAAGATTTTTAACGATTTTGAAAGAAGTCTCTTATGCTCACCAAGGCTGCATTTATTTGTTAAAAAAATACAGTAAAACAGTAATACTGCAAAATATTATTACAATTTAAAACACCTGTTTTCTATTTTAATCTATTTTAAAAAGTAACAATATAAAGTTTAATTTTCAGTAGCCATTATTCCACTTTCACATTCACGTGTCACATGATCCTTCAGAAATCATTCTAATATGAGTTGATGCTAAATAATAATTTCTTATCATTGCCAAATTTGAAAACAGTTGTGCTGCTTAATATTTTTGTGTGTGTTTTTCAGGATTCTTTGATAAATAGAAAGTTCAAAAGAAAAGGATTTATTTGAAAGCTATTTTTTTTGTAACAATGTAAAAGTCTTTACTGCCACTTTTGATCAATTTATTGTCTTGACCCAAGACTTTTGAAAGGTAGTGTATACAATGCAATAATATTTTATAATATGAAATAATTAAAAAAATATTAACAATCAAATTATTTTAATAATAATAACCATTTTATTAGTAGAAGTTCAAAAATTACACATATAATGTATTAAACTGATAATCCTAATAAACAATAAAAAAAATAAAAAAATTTAAAAACATAAACCTTTTAAGTTCCAAGGTAGTTCATGTAAGATGAATCAACTGACGAGCATAAAAGCTGTTTTTAAGCACACTATTGAACTTTTATATATCAACTCCTCTTCTATAGATGCCACAGTCTTTTGATGATAAAGCTCTGATGCTCAATAACAGACATTCATCGGGGGTTACATTCATCGTGGGGCATGCTGACCACTCCATACGAGCTCATACGTCTACTGGCCTTATTACAGGCAGAGAGGAAATCAATGTAGCTAGACGCTGCATGGCTGACGTGGCTGTCTCATCACTCATCAGGCCTGGACCCTTGCCTGCCACCTCTGTCCACACATGTTCACACGTGATAGGACTGATTCGCTTGCAAAAACAAATCACTGATTGATCACTCTCAGTGGAGGAAAGAGGTCCATTTCTGTTGTCTTTTCTCTCTACGAGACCCCCACCCAAACCAGGTAATGTCATTTCCTAATAGTGCTGGATGGCAGACGTCAAACTGAGTGACACATCGCTAGGGATGCTAGCTGTGTCTTCACTGTAGATCCACCATTCAGTTTGATATAGAAGTTACAAGACTCTTCAAATGTAACAACTTGTGATTTTCGGACATGCTGCACAGTCTGTGATAATCTCCATTTTAACATTTGATATTGTACTTATGGTACATTACACTTTTGATCATGTCTTAATACAGCATATGTTAAAACAAAATAAATCAATTCCAATTTGTGATAATTTGTTGATTTTTTTTAAGTCTGAGGAAATACAATTTCAGAAAGTGTGTCTCATTTCACATACGCCATCATTCAAAGGTTTGGGTTCAGTAGATTTTGTATTGAAAGAAACATTTATTCAGCAAGAATGCATTAAATTGATCAAAAGTGAGATTTCCATTTCAAATAAATACTGTTCTTTTTAATTTTCCATTTATCAAATAATCAAGAAAAATTTGCACAGAAATATTAAGCAATTATCAAATAAGATTTTTTATTCTTGAGCATCAAATCAGCATTTTAGCTTTGCCATCATAGGAATATATATATTTTTTATCTATTTAAAATAGATACAAATATAAAACAGTTATTTTAAATATTTCACATTATTACTTTTTTACTGTATTTTTGATCAAATAAATATAAATACATTCAAAAATCTTACAGACCCCAAATGTTTTAACAGTAGTGTATGTCTACAAGTTTGTAGTGCACAAATCACAAAATGGCAGTCTTGTGACTGGGACAAACTTAGAAGGAATTTTAGGAGCAAATTAAATGAGCATTGATAAAGCTTTGATCCATTTGTTTGATCAGTATCTGAATATTGATGAGGCCTCCATAAGTAAGTCTCACTGTTGTGACAAATGCTTTATTATCCACTCCGTCTGTATGGACTCCTGCTATGAACTGACCCAATCAACTGTGCCCCATATAAGTGGGATCACTTAAAAAAACATTAATTATTTAGCCTTTGAAACAGATAAACGTGTGATTAGAAGGCAGTACGGTCAGCGAACACCCTCAGGTTGAGGGGTTCATGAATTACACCTCAGAGAAAGTGAGTGAGTCAGTTTTATTCACTTCATCCACAACAGATTCTCTCTCTTTCCTATTACAGCTTGTGTTCCTGTCCTCAGACTTTGCTTTCTTCCTCCGTCCCCCTCTTCATGACCCTTTCATTCATCATTCCCCCTTCCTCTCCTCCTTTCCAGTGTGAGCGATTGCATGGCGGCAGTGTTAGAGTAAAGCTCTTCTCAGCTGATGGAGAGAACATTAATCAGGTGATGCATATCAGACAGACAAGTGAGAGGGAGGAGGGGAGGAATATGTTCGCATGCTTCCTCCTAATAGCGTACTCTGTGTTCCCTCGTTTATTTCGCCGTCCAATGTTCATTCATCACTCCGCTTCTGAGGATGTGCTGGAGTGTCCACTTTCAGCACGGATTGCTTTTCCTCTCTATCTCTTTCTCAGAATCTCTCCTGCATTCTCTTGCCTCTTGTCTGTTCCAATACACACCACTAAATTCCCTTGATATATGAACAAAAATATATTTTTACTTAAAATAATGTAGCTTAAAATAATGTAAATCCAGCTTCAAGGCCTATCAGAAAGAAGTATATATATTTTTGTAATTAAATAAAATAAAATAAATCTTAATTCATTGTTGTGTATACCTGATAGTACCAGCTGAGAGGTGTCCATAGGATCCACTGGTGGATGAGCTGGAGCGGGAATTATTAAGTATAGTGACAAGAGAATTGGGCGAGGTGCGAATCATGGCCTGCAGGTCAAAACTGGGATCAGACAGGGAAGGGGAGCTGGGAAGGGGTCGTTTTCTGCTGGGCCGATTTGTGAGCCTAGGACTTGGAAATCGTGAAGCTGAGAAGACACAGACAGAGAGAGAAAACAGAGAAAGAACATAATATGTTATGTATTTAAAACTGGTGGTATAATAACAGGTACAAAAATAAATAAAAATCATCATTTTTATTTACTTTTATATTTTACTTATTTTTTATTTATTTATTTTAAATAAAATGTATTTGTTTTTATTTAAATTAATTTAATAAATTAATTTAATTTAATAGTTTATTTTTTAAAAGAGCTATCGGTAAAAAGAGCTAGCTTTTACTATCGGTAGAGAGAGAAGTGGAGCGCACAACAGTCGAACAATGACATCATTTACTGAAAAGTTCCCATTCTCTTGCAGTTCATATATATTTTTTTAGATTTTACCACACAGAAAGCTTTACTGACCAAGAATCATCTTGTTAATTACAAGCAATTTCTTCATCATAGTCTGTTGCATTCAACAACAACCACATTTTCTGCATTGAATGCATTTTGTACACACTGTAAAAACAACTGCAGCTCCACTTTTCTCACTGCTTTCTGGTACTACTTTTCTCACCACTTTTCTCACTGCGATATTGAATCATGTTTAATTGGGTTGAATAGTGCGTTAATGCTGAATGGAATTTCACTGGGTTGTTTTTGAAAAGCTTTCACTAGAAAGCAGATTGAACGCAGATCAACGCCTCCACTCACGCACAATGACTGGCACCTACAGATTAAGAAATGACTTTTGTTGTCTTTTCATTTGCGAATGTCACAAACAAGAAAGAAGGGAGAAATGGAGGGAGAAGTGAAAGGAGGGGAAGAGCGGGGTGCGTGGGGATGGTGGTCTTTTGTTGTGTGGAGTGACACAATGACTTTGTGACTAATTTTTTCTTTCAGTTGTTCTTTACATTTTTTAAGAGAAAGCACGCAAACAAAACAAGATTATGCTCTCTCTTTCTCTCTCTCTCTGACTCTCTCCCATCTCTCTTTCTTGTTTGACACATACAGTGATTACAGGGTCTGTCATTCACATTTAAATAACTGTGTGTGTGTGTGTGTATTCCCACATTTGGAACATCTTACCACATTGCTGGCATTCTGATTAGAACTGTGATTAAAGACTTTGTAAACAGACACAAGCACAAACTTACACACACACACAAATCCACATACTTAAGCACCAATACTATATACATTATAACACACACTCATTTACAATAATATGTGCAGTCTATAAGGCCATTTTGATTTTCCTAATTCAAAGACCAGTTTGGATCAGCATTAACCTCAAGATGGTCTTAACTAGTTTTAAATAAATAATTCTGGTCTATTTATGACATGAGCTGGTTAAGCTGGTAGAACAACGAATGCAAAAAGATGTTTTAAACTGGTAATTTAAGCTTGTATGAACGCGCTAAATGTTCCAGTTTTTGACAAACATGTTTTACATCGGCAATGTTGGTTTATTTTTGACAAAAGTTTTGTTAAGTAGAACAGCTTGACTAGCATAATCAATATAGGCAAAACGAATTGGCCAAAACATACAATTTATGGGTCAATAATATGCAAAAAAGTTTTTTTCCCTGTTTTTTTAAGATGATCACTAGCTAGGTCAAGGTTTTGACAGATTTTAATATATTAGATTAGCAGTACTAATACAGTATATTACTGGAACAGGCTGGTTAAGGACATTTAAAACGCTGACAGTTGTAACTACACTGTAAAAAATGTCCGTAGTTTTAACGGTGAAAAACTGTAAAGTAGCGATGGTAAAAAACTGTAAATTATAAAACATGAAATTACCGTATAAATAACAGTTAAATACTGTTATTGTAAATATACTGTTTGAAAATTTGATACTTTTGTATTATTGCTTTGTAAAAACTGCATTATTTTACCATAAAACCCTTAAAACAACAGTAAAGTACACAAAAACACTAAATAGTAAATCACTGCTTACTACAGATATGCTGTCAGGACTTTTTTCCCCTTCTGTTTTTTTAATTGTTTGTTCTTAATTTTTTTTTTCTTTCTGGCTTTTCGGTTGTCCAATAAGTGCCATTACGCTGCATAATATAAAGAAACCATATTTTTAACAAGCATTTAAAGTTATTGCCTTAATGCCTTTTGACTTGTCCAATCAGCGCTCAAGACGTTGCATCACATACGCCGGCGCCTTTTGCCTTTTCAAGTGACGGTTTTTCTCTGGAACTGACGGAAGCAAACAACGGACCAACGTCGGCAAGCTGTTAAAATTATAATTTTTCCCCGTCACGAAGTCTGTCTGGTGAGCACAAATAAACTCATTCTGTAAAGTTAAAGTTCAATAATTGTTTTAGTTATTTGAATACAGCTTTTGTGTTGTAAAGTGTTTATTTTATTTTCATATCTTTAACGTCATTGTAACTCACATGACGTGGACCTGTTGGCTGTCTAGATGGTAACGTTTTACGTTATCCTTTTAATATATAACGTTAACCTCACACATTGGAAATTAACGAATTCGCTCTGATTTTGAAACGTTTGTGACGCAGTTTAACGTTAGCAGTCTGTCGTTGTAACCATGGCGAGGCGAACTTCATGTTTAACGTTAATTTAAACGATATCTCGGATTGGTTATTAGTCGAGTTCACTATGAGTAAGTTTTTAATATGCATTAAAATGTACACATGCTACTTTTGTAATTTAACAGTGCAAAGTCTGAGGGAATATGTTCTGCACCGCAGACTGCATCGCAACGAACCTCGCGCCATTTTCAAATGTGTCGCAGTTGATTGCAAGCAGTCGTTTTCCAAATACTTAGCATTTAAGAGTCATTTTTATCGGCCCCATAACGGCTCTACCACTGCTGCGATTGCACATGCAGTGGTTGATACGGCCTTGACATGTAGTATTTCACTATGTAGTTATCAGTGCCAGGATGTGCCCAGTCTTGTTGCTCACTTAAAGAACCATGTAAAGGAAGGTCGTGCAGTTTACTGTCTAGTGAGAGGGTGCAAAAGTGCTTTTCAAATCAAGTCCTCTTTTACCTCTCATATGTCTAGAAAGCACAGGAACTGTTCAGCTAACAGCATTAGTGATTCACATCGGCCTTCTGCATCAGAGATACCGTCTGTTTCAACTGAGCAATGTCCTGCTGACCTGGATCCAAATACAGGTGAGTCAGAAGTAAGTGAAATGGACTCGTTTCAACATTTTGACGATTTGTATTTGAGAAATGTTAGCCTGTTTTATCTGAAATTACAAGGACAGTTTCTTCTCCCAGCTTCTACAATACAAAATATTGTAGATGAGATGCAAAATATTCACGAATTGGAACAGATATATACTTTTAGTAAGCTACATTCACTTTTGCAGAATTTGTCATTACCCAATGAGACAATTTCTCAAATCTTTGCTACTGTGAAGGAATCAGACTTGTTTTCTGTATGTCATAAAGGACCCATGCAAACAGAGTATTCAAGGAGTCAGACCTTTAAAAAAGTATTCAAATATGTTGAACCAAAAAGAATACTGTTAAGTAGAGATGAGAATCGGACAGAGCAATTTGCATACTATGTACCTGTGAAAGACACATTGAAGTGTCTGTTAAATTCAGATTTTGGGAGGAATTGCATTTCGATGCACTTGCCTGAAAAAAACTCTACTGATGTACTCTGAATGCACAGATGGCCAAATACTGAAGTGAAGGGATTTCTCTCAAGACCACCCAAGCCTCCAGCTACTGCTCTATCAGGATGCTTTTGAGGTGGTTGGGGAAAAAAAATCTGTGAAAATCAATAGTGCCCCAAAACTGTTTGGTTACAAACATTCTTCAAAATATCTTCCTTTGTGTTCAGCAGAACAAAGAAATTTATACAGCTTTGGAATAACTTGAGGGTGAGTAAATGATGACAGAATTTTCATTATTGTGTGAACTATACCTTAGTTACTATCTTAAAGGGATATTTCACCCAAAAGTAATAATTGTCATTAATTACTCGCCTTCATGTCATTCCAAACCCGTAAGACCTTCATTCATCTCCGGAACACAACCTTAAGATATTTTTGATGAAATCCGAGAGCTCTCTGACCCTCCATTGACAGCAAGGGTCCTACCACGTTCAGTGTCCAAAAAGGTACCAAGAACATCGACAAAATAGTCCTTGGACATCAGTGGTTCAACCATAATTTTACGAAGGTGCGAGAATACTTTTTGTTCTCAAAGAAAACAAAATTAACTACTTTATTCAACAATTCTTCTCTTCCGCGTCACCCTAGTGCCATTTCGGCGAGTACCACAACACATACATTATGATACTCTCTCCATAATTGTGCTAGGGTGTCGCGGAGGAGAATACATTTTTCTTTCTCTTTTTTTCTTTGCTCACAAAAAGTATTCTCCTAGCTTTATAACAATTACGGTTGAACCACTGATGTTACATGGATTATTTTAACAATGTCCTTACTATGTTTCTCTGCCTTGACCGTGGTAGTACCCTTGCTGTCTATGGAGGGTCAGAGAGCTCTCGTATTTCATCATAAATATCTTAATTTGTGTTCCGAAGATGAACGAAGGTCTTACGGGTTTGAAACGACATGAGGTTGAGTAATTAATGACATTTTTCATTTTTGGGTAAACTATCCCTTGAAATTAAGTTATTAACGAAGGTTAATGTTATAGTTCATTCACAGTTACATTGTCGGAATGGCTTGTTGTGAAAGTTAGCAGAGAGATTAAAGCTCTAAAATATATTATGACTAAAGGCATTTAATTGTTTGTTTTTGTCTGTAGGCTCTTCCTGCTACACATCAAAACTATTCATGCTGAGCATCGACCAAAAGATTACAACTCCGCACATTTCTACATTCATCGCAGCAATGTGCCTGATGTTTGGTAGTTACTACTGTTTTAACATCCATTATCCTTTGGAGCTGGGTTCTACTCTGGAGTTCATGCAAAGGTAGGCATTAAACCATTTGTTTTACATAAAATTGTGACAGCACTTTACAGTAAGCTGTCATTTTTTAACATTAGGTAATGTATTCACTAAAATGAACTAACAATGGGAATAACATTTATAACAGTTTAATCTTTGTTTTTGTTAGAAAAATACAGTTGTTCATGTTAGATCACAGTGCATTAACTAATGTTGAAAGTAACTAAGTTTAATAAATTCTGTAGAAGTATTGTTAAATCTTAGTTCATGTTAAAGTGTTCGTTCACCCAAAAATTCTGTCATTAAACGATTAGTTCACCTCCAGAATAAAAAATTTACTCACCCCCGTGTCATCTAAGGTGTTCATGTCTTTCTTTCTTCAGTCTCAAAGATATTAAGGTTTTTGAGGAAAACATGCTTTTTCTCCATATAATGGACTTCGATGGGGACCAACAGGTTTAAGATCCAAATTGTAGTTTCAATGAAGCTTCAAAGGGCTCTACACGATTCCAGCTGAGAAATGAGGGTCTTATTTAGTGAAACGATCAGTCATTTGCTAAAAAAAAATTTAAATGTATATACTTTTTAACCACAAATACTCGTCTTGCATTAGCTCTGCGATGAGTGTCACGCATTACGTAATCACGTTGGAAAGGTCACGTGCGGTTATTTCTTCGTCTGTGTACTCCGATTCAAAAGGGTAGGGTAGGGCAAAAAACTTAATCTCTTTTACTCCTCCAACTTCAGCATCATCTTACATTTGTTGTTTTACCTTTTTTGTAAAGGGCATTTGACTTTCTTTGCACGTTCACTCTGTAAACACTGGGTCGGTACTTCCGCCTACATCACATGTGACCTTTCCAACATGATTATGTAATGTATGAGGTCGGGCTGGTGCAAGACGAGCATCTGTGGCTAAAAAGTATATATGTTTCTATTTTTAAGAAAATGACCAATTGTTTCTCTTGATAAGACCATTATTCCTCAGCTGGGGTCATGTAGAGCCCTTTGAAGCTGAGTTGAAACTGCAGTTTGGACCTTCAACCTGTTGGGTCCTAATGAAGTCCACTATATGGAGAAAAATCCTGGAATGTTTTCCTCAAAAACATTAATTTCTTTGAGACTAAAGAAAAAAAGGCATGAACATCTTGGATGGCATGGGGGTGAGTGCATTTTTATTCTAGAAGTGAACTACTTCTGTAATTACTAACCCTCGTGTCATTCCAAACCTTCACTCATCTTCAGAACACAAGTGAAGATCTTTTTAATGAAATCTGAGAGATTTCTGTCCCTCCATTGATAGCCTATGCAACTAGCACTTTCAAGGTCTGGAAAGATTGTAAAGACATCGTTAAATTAAACCATGTCACTCCAGTGGATGAACCTTAATTTATGAAGTGTTGTGAATGCATTGTTTTTTTTTGCTGCAAAAGAGCATAACTGACTACTTTTCATTTTTGGGTGAACTAACCCTTTCACTGAAGTTGTTAACTAATGTTAACAAAATGATAGCTTATTGTAAAGTGTTACAGAAATGTTCACCCAAAAATGAAACATTTACTACATGGTGAGAAAATAATGACGTTCTACATCCTTTCTGACTCCTGCAGATCACAAATGATATATTTTCAAGGATGTTGCAATGCTGATTTCCATAAAAGTTGAATAATAAATTACTTTATTTACATTAATACTCTCTACAAAAACTTTTTGTTGTGGATAAAGGTGTAGTTAAACCTAGGTTTGCTCATACTATGGAAGTCAATGGGCTCCAGTAACTGTTTGGTTACCCACATTCTTCGAAATGTCTTATGTTTTAACTGAAGAAGAAAACTTGTACAGGTTTGGAACAACTTGAGGGGGAGTAAATGATGACAAAATTTGTTTTTTGGTGAAGTAACCCTTTAATCAGTCTATATTTGTGAGCAACAAATTCAGTCATTTCGTTCTCTTTTTTTAGGTGCTTCTTCAGCATAAACCCAGAGAAGGGCACCAAAGTTGAATCGAGGAAAAACAAAAAACTGCTCCCAGTGAACCCCCGAGTCCTTACAGTCATAGCAGACCTTGCTGATCACGAATGGAGAGCAGATTAAGGTTGGACAAAACCGTTTTTGACTGATGTCTGAAGATTACGTTGGCACTGATAATGCTTTTCAAATTGGAGTTATCTGGATTTACACTGGAAGATGATTGAACTTTGAATGTGGAAAATGACTTAAAATGTGAGTGCTGTACTCTTAGAAAGCCTTTTATTTATTTATTTTTTGCCTAAATACTGGTTTGTACGTATGGTACTATACCAGTAATGATTTACCAGCCAACAAAACATTGTGTACCTAAAATAAAATGTCACCTTTTCATTAATATTTAGATATTTAAATAATCTCTACAAAAAACAAAAAAAAAAACATTTTTCTTAGAATTCCTTGTTTGGCCTTCTGTTTGAAAAAGGAATTTCTAGAGTGTGTTAAGAGTAGTTCACTTATATTTACATAACTGATGATTTACTGACCCACCGGCCATCCAGAATATACATCAGAACAAAAATGATTTTTTTTAGGAAGGTTAAGGTTGAAGATTTAAGGTTGATTAAGATGTTCTGATGAAGAAAGCAGGTTTAGTACATCTTGAACAGAGTAAAACATTTCTACATTTAAGTTTTCCTACAGGAAGTTTTGTTTTGTGCATCTGAGATTGTAAAAAGCTGTATGTTTATGCTCTCCAGGCATTTGGTTCATGATTAATCCATTCTGTTAATAGAATGGTGTGTGTGGTCTTGTTCAGGTTATTGAATGTGTTGCTTTCTGGTAAGATTGTAATCATTCAAAATGTTTGCTCTGCAAATTGAAGCCAACATGTAGTTTTACTGCTGTTTTAAGGAGAAGAATATGGTTGTCCAAAGTATGTATTTAGCATTTGTTTGTGGCATTAAAATAAAAAGTGTATTTACTTTTCATACCACTTCTGGGTGTTCTTGTTAAATTCACAATTTCTTTTACTCATGTACTTTTTTTCTGGCAACCGTAGCTGCCGGTTTTTTACCGTACATTTTACAGTTCACTTTTAAATATACCGTAAACAGAAGAATATTTAGACCATATTTTACGGTAGATTTCCGGCAACCACAGCTGCCGTTTTTTTACCGTAAATTTTATGGGATTTTTTTTACAGTGTATGATAGGTAAACAAAAGCAAAAACCAGTTTGAAAGTGCACAAAACACCTTATACCAGTAAATAAAGATGAGGGGGGAAAAAAGCCATACAGTTAACTGACCTCAGTGCTGGTTTATTAGTGGCACAAGCCAGCTCAGCTTGGTAAAACAGTTTGACTGGTTCTCATTGGTTGAATATTTTTTGGACAATGAGGGGCCTTGGAGCCATTAATGTTGAGAACCACTGGACTAGTTTTCAACCATAATGGGTGAAAAGCCAAACCAGTAAGAAAGTGCCCAAAACATACCAACCACTGAATAATTGCAGATTTGTAGGATGAATAAATATTACATGCTTGGTCAAACATCTTTTAACAAAAATGTGAATGTGAATTGTAAATGTAAGTGTGGAAAAAACAAAAACACTAGTTCCACCTTAAAAATCCATCTACATCCCACAGAGGGTCCAAATTGAGGTGTTTAATAGAGGCAGAATTTAATTGACATTGGCTAATTAGCAGCTAATGCATAAAAAAATGCATGGCTTGAACACACATACGCAGGATAGGTTAATTCCTTCATCAGTTTTTCTCTAAAAGTAATTATACTGAGCTCTAAATTACGACTGTGCTATCCCATCCCCATTACTAACAAAGGCTCCTAGATAACACACTTCTACTCATTCACTCCCCTTCTCAGAGTCTATGTATCATAAAAGAGAGCTTTAAAGTGTTAATTTGGCTGGCATGGAATACACATTGTTATAATAGGAAGAGTTACTAAGGGCTGATCACAGGCGATTTGAAGTAGGGGGGATGTCAATGTCTCCATTTGAAAACAATGGCCCTAATTGTTTTATTTCAGTCTATTAATCTTAAACAGTCCCACAGAAGGTTTCTCCAGTGATGAATAGTGGGAAATTCCAATTCCCACTTAATAGCAATTAATTTTCTGATAGCCATGGAAGTTTGACTAGTTTTAATTAGTTTGTGAGGAACAGGGAAGCCGGTGACAGGCTGACTAAATGCATTCTCATCAAAGACTAACAGGCCAGTCCACCTGACCTCTCTTCGAATTACTGTGCCTTTAATTTCCTATTTACACTTCAAAATAACTCATTTGCATATATCCTGTGCACACTTACCCTCATTTCTGAAAACAATAAGACAATGGAACAATTTAACCAGTTTAATTAATTGGAGATGTTTTCAAGGAAAGATTTGCAACTGGTTCCTTATAGTCAGTCTCTCTCTCTCTCTCTCTCTCTCTCTCTCTCTCTATATATATATATATATATACATACACATGCATGCATACATACATATAGCTTTTGCTTTCTTCAATGGTTAAAGTTCTGGGTATAAATAGTCTCAGCCTACTGTAAATCTGCCCCTCTGATAAGAGGATGGGTATGTTGATGGTAGACATCAGAAAAATGTAAGCGAGTGGAGAACTTACTTTCCATAGCCTGCAGGTACTCCATATGAAGGGCGTTGCTTGCAGGCCCTGTTGTGGATGCCACTGAAGGAATGATGTCAGTGTACGGGCTGCGGTGACCTGCAAGTAGGGCCATCTGGTGGTAGTACTCTGCTGTGGTCAAACTGGCGTGGGGTGCTGAAGCATCAAATGATGACATAAAAACATCAGTCATTAGACAAATGCACTACTGTTCAAACGTTTTGGATCAGTAAGATTTTTAAAAGAAATGAATTATTTTTATTCAGCAAGGATAAAATAAATACGATTTCATAAGATACGTCTTATAAAAACATTAAAAGATATCCCAAACTTTTTAACGCTAGTAAAGGAATACATAGGTGAGTTATTCAAGACTTGTAGTAACAGATGCATGTTACTACAAGTCTTGAATAACTGACCTTTTTTAATTTCTTAATTACATTTTTTTAATAACTGACCTTTTTTTCTAAACTTGTGAATCAATGGTTTTGACTTCAGAAGACTTGGAATATAGCACACAAGTCTAGATTTTGGGAGTACTGGAGTCTGGTGTTTGGACTACTTTTATCATACTTTTATAGCGCTTTTGTCATTATTGGAGCTTGACAACCTCAGGTTCCATTCACTTTCATTATATGGATAAGAGAGCTTGGACATTCTGCTAAATATCTTCTTTTCTGTTTCACAGAAGAAAGTAAGTTATACAAGTTTAACTAATTAATTTAATTTAATTATTAATTTTAATTTGGGGGGAAGAAAGAGGGCATCATTTTAGATGTGAACTTAAATTGCCTTTCTCTCTGATTTGTTCTGTCTCTCTTTCATGTATTGCCTCTATCTTCCTCCTACACTTTAGCAACAGAGTGATAACAGGTCCTAGAAAAGCATCCTAAAAATAAACTTGGCAACATGCTTTTCTATGCAAACAACACAAATGAGAGAGCACACTCACAAAAACACATACACACAAAAAGAGAAAAAGAATGAAAGAAAGACTGACACAGTGCATCTCAATGCAAATACAAAATAATTTTAGCTGCACAAAGTGTTGTGGCTAATTCCTGTCTTTCCCAGAATAAATGAACAGAGCGGATGAAAGGATCTCGACTGAGGCCCAAACTGAATGCATGGAATATGCATCTCTGATTGGTTGTGTGAATGTAAGAAGAAATTCCATATTAATTAGATGAGGCAGGGTTCGTACGGTCATGGAAAAACCTGGAAAAGTCATGGAATTTTAAAACACCAATTTCCAGGCCTGGAAAAGTTTTGGAAAAATAAATAAACCCAGAAAGTTTTGGAAAAGTCATTGAAATCTATTTCACAAAACTCTGTATAATAAAATTGTGTTCAATCAGGTCCTGAATTTCGGTGCGGGATTGCGCATAGGCTATATCGCATAGTTTTACTCATTCCCGCAGCTTTTGACTTTAAAATGATGGATATTCACACATTTATTCAATAGCCTATAGCATGTAGGTTTGATGAGTAAATAATCAAACCTACAGACTTGAGTCCAGTCCACACAGACTGATCAAATCAGTCATTTGAAAACAGCGTGAGTGATTCAGCTGTACGCGTCTTCTCTTTGACTTTCTCTTCAAACGGCTTCACATCGGCGCATCTTGTCTGCGCTACAAGAGCCGCTGCACGCTGCGATACAAGACTTTCACTCGCGTTTGAGGACAGTTGACAGAATAGTCACTTGCCTAATCGGGTCATTGTTGCATCGTCAGAAAATTGAAAATATTTTTAAGCCATTCGGTCCTCGTGCGCTCCAGAGGCGGTGCGCAGTCACATCCAAAGTGCGCTCGTGCGTATATGAGTATTGAGTTTGCTACCAAATAAGCTCAGCAGAACCCTGCACGGGCCTCAAACATATGCCCTAGTCCGGCCCTTATCCGACAAGATTATCAGAATTACTGGCCGAGTCCAACTAGAGCCCGTGTCTTTTTTCTCTTTCTCTCTTCCCCAATTACACAGCTGCTGTTGTAGCCATTAAAATAGTTCAGTTTCGTTTTTAATGGCAAAAGTGGCTATATATATTTTCGTTTCTTTATTACGTTAATTTAGACATATGTTTGGAAAATGTTTTTGTTTGTTAAATTCAAGTTTTAGTTTTTTTTAAAGTAACGACCAAGCGGCCAGTGGCAGACAGCGAGTTAATCATAGCCTATCTTTGATCAATTTAGCCTTCTCAAATCATCACCACTTGACTAAAATAAAATCTATAGGCCTATATAAAATGCTTAAAAAAAACCCTGATGAGGGTATTATGACTTAAGTAGTGATGGAGGGGTTAGGGGGGCTTCCTTAATTGTTTCTGTTGTTCCTTCTTGCCTTGGCTCTTGCATTAAGCTGTAATGTGCCTCATTTCCCATGCATGTGTAGCTTTGTGGATTTTCTAAATGGGAGATGTTGGCATCGAACTGATGGACTGGCGGTGGGGAATGGCAGGGGCCATTTTTAAGGATGAATATGCACCCTCAGTATGGTGCACCACCAGAGCCAGGAGGCATTCTGCTGGTGGAGCATGCTGGCATCTGGGAGATTACAAAAAAAAAAATTCCAAAAGAGGGTTGGAAAGCAAGCACAAAAAATGAAAAAGGGAAAGCGATAAAACTCCCATCAATGTTTGGTTATTCTTTCCACTATCATGAACTGGTGGCTGCATATGGTACGCAAAATATGATTAATAATTATAGTTTCAAAATATATATAAGGGATGTGCCCGAAGCCAAATAACTTATTCAGTGAAACAGTGAAGTGACATGTGCTCTGCATTTAACCCATCCAAGTGCACACACACACACACAGTAGTGAACACACACACAGAGCAGTGGGCAGCCATATTGCTGCGGCCCCTGAGAAGCAGTTGGCTCATTTGGCATCACCCAGTTCAGTTCCTTGCTCAAGGGTCTCACCTCAGTCGTGGTATTGAGGGTGGAAGAGAGCGCTGGTTATTCACTCCCCCTGAGGCTCAAACCCACAACCTTCGGGTTACAAGTCAAACTCTCTAACCATTAAACCATACAGTCTTTTCTCAAGATCAAATTTTTCTGGATAACAGGTAAGCCACGATGATATTACTGATACACAGAAATTTCTGAAACCAAAAACTGAAAAAAAACAGCAATCTTCAGTTTCAGCCAAAATAGTTTTGAAGGGCCAAAACAGTCAAGTTTAATTAGTATTTTTCCAATGGTGCATTTTGACTCTCAGTGTCTATGTTGTGTATACATGTGGATCAACTACAACAGGTAAACATATCAGCTGTGTGGATGTTATTGCTTAAAGGGGAGTTCTAGTGTGATTTCATGCATTCTGACTTATTTACACTGTTAAGCATGGCCAAAGTTTCAAAAAACGAGTTGGACGCATGACGGAGTATTTCTGTACCAAATACACTCCTTCAGGGTTTGTATAGTATAACTTTGTAAGTTTCTGAAAGTTTTTTTCGAGGATGACCCTGTATGACGTCATAAAGGGCAGAATTCCTTGTATGGGCACTTCTCCCGGAAGAGCAGGCGTACACAACAACCAGAGTGCGAGTATGACAGTAAATCAGTGTGCTTCATTTGGGTTATGGAAGTCGTCGGCAGCGCTGCACAGGACTTGGTCGAGAAGGATTCATCATTTTGTTTCTATATCACGAAATCAACAATGTCCCCAAAGAAGTGTGTTTTTGGTTGTGAGGGAAAGTTAACCTTGTTCAGCTTCCCAAAGAACCCAGCTTTAAGGGAATTATTTATGTCGATGTCACAGCTTGCAGACGATCGCTACGCTAAAGCTTCACATGCTTGTGACTCTTTAAATTCGTCTCCATCCATGGCATGCCTCCAGGCAATGGCGCAAAAATGGGGTATGCAGTATATGCAGTGCATCTTGCCAAAATCATTTTGTGAAAATCTTCTTTAACTCTTTCCCCGCCAAACATGGAATTTTCAGTTATTTATGAGAAAACGCTTCCCCGCCAAAAACGGAATTTTCCGGGTCTCCGCGTTCTCACTGTTATACACTCGGGGAGTTATAGGCATCTCCTAAATGAGTCTAGAATGTGCCGATCAAAAACACATGCGAGGAAGGCGCAGAAACTAGTGATCTCGTATGTATGCATATGCATATGAAAAACAATGCGATCACCAACAATAGACAACAAATAAATGAAAACTGCCTAATGTTACTGAGTAAAACGTCGATCCAGGAAGTGGCAAAGGACTGCAAGCTTTGGGGGTGTTGATGGAAGAAATCTACTGCATCTTTGCTTTGATCATCCTACTGAATATGATCCAGATGTAGTATTTGATACAAACGTGATTTTCTCTGCTTTTTTGCTCAAAATGTTGCTTTTTTTTAATAAAACATAAATTAAGCGTTAGCGTTAGTTCTGGCAGGTCACGTGAGTCAAGCTTGCATCAGCTGATTCTCAGCTGATCACATCTACCTATAGGAATACGACGCCTATCGTGGTATTCCTATATAAGCTCTATTCAGTATTATGCAGCAGCTTTTCAACTTGCCCCGGAGCAAATTAAGCATTGCTGCTCACAAATCAAACTGTTGCAGCGTGTTTCAGACCATATGAAATCCACATCAAAGATAAGTGAATGCTGTTTTAATCCATATCGCTGTGTATATTACCTGGTCTGCTAATTGAAAAAAGCATATTTGCAGCAGCATTTACGCATCTGTGTTCATACAGCTGGAGCAACACGTAGTCTAAAGCATGTAATCGCTCTGAGGACAGCCGATAAGGCCATGAGAACAAGTTTAAATGAAACGAGCATTCTCGTGTATGCGTTTCAACTGGGGTTCGCTGTTATTCTATTATTCTAAGCAAGTACAAGCCGCACTTTTAAAAAAAATTAAATAAAAAATACACGTAACTACAGTTGTTTTCCTCTGGTTCCTCACTTGCTGAGCTTGGGGTTATGCTTCCCCCATAAATATATTAAGTAACATTTCCTGCTAAGTTTTTTATTTCATTCTCATTGCTTAACGCTGTGTTGGCAAATATGCTATTGTCAAATATTGCTCGTTGTTTGAGGTTAGTTGTTCAGTAACGTGTTTGTTTGCTAGGCACACTGTTGCTTTAGGCTTATTGGTTGTACTTTGACACACTGTTAACATTAACGTTACCCAGTTAAACTTACCAC